CTTTTTGTTGATGTTTTTTTCTTCCATCAGGCTTTTACAATCATGAGGATGACTCATGGTGATGATCACCCAATGACCTCTGACCTGAGGATGAAGATAGAGGAATGTCATCTGGAGATGGATACACAGCAGTCTGACAGACATTAAGACAGACTATGGACTGACATAAACGTTAAACGTACCTTCCATTTTTATAATATTTTTTTATAGGTGCATGCTTGAGTGTCAGATTAGGATGCATCACATTACATTATACTGGGGTTTAACGGTTGTTTTATAGGTTGATTTGAGGTCTTTACTATCTCTATTAAAGACAGGCTGGTATTGATAGCTGCTGAATTTAACCTACATTATGTGGTCAGCAAAGCTCTTGTACTTTTTTGTAATAAAATAAAAGAGGAATCCATCAAAAGTGTCCTAAAAGTCGTAAACACTTTGGATTCTTGGCAAACACAAGAAGATCTGGATGTTCTTTTAAAGGTAATGTAAAAACCACACAATAAAGTCTAGCTAATAAAGCAAATTGTGAAAGAGCAGATGGATATTTGAGCCAAATGTTTCAAAGCAAAAAGGCAAACTCTGCTTCCCAAGAAGTTGTTTTACGCCTTCCGGTAGCTAAGAAATGTCTCACTGACTGAGGTTGGCCTGTGGAAGTGCCGCCATCTGTCTCTATTTTACAGTCACCAGCTTTGAAGGCGTTCCCTTTTTAGCCAGATGACTTCAGCGATGACCTTGTTTGGGTGACAGAGTGGCCAGACCAGGTCAACCCGCAGGTTGACCCTCAGAGGACGACAAGCAGTCAGATTTCTTCATTAAGGACGACCATCTGTGGAAAGCAACCAGATAGGAAAACCTGTCAGCTCTTGAAACAACAGAGAAACGCTTCCTTCAGATTCTGGTAACCAAGAAGCTAAATGGACGTAGTTTTAACATGAATGGACATACCTGTCAAGGTAACTATTGGCACGCAGGAAACTATTTCCAGGAAACTATTGGCACGCATTTTAATGTAGTAACTTTAAAAAACATTTCTGTGTCTCTTCAAGCTGAATTCTGTCACGTGAGAACTGCCACCCAACCCGCTGCAGGAGCCAAGCTGGAGGTGTTGTGATCTCGAACAGAGTCCCATCTCTGACATCTGTGCAATTTTAACTACATTTTGAGGAAACATTTCTGAGTATTTGGTCAACCTCTAACCTGATTTGACAACCGAGAGCGCCCTGGGTGGTTGCCCATGTCACCCATATCAGAAACCGCCACTGCCTACACAATTATATAGAAGTGTAGTTGATATACAACTGTTTCCTTATTGATTTGGTTTGATTTAGTTTCTTTTCTTTTTTTTCGGCTTCACTTCTTAAAAATTATTCTCTAACATACATTTGTTACTGATGACATTATAAGATTTAATTTTCTTGCCCTGAGAAATTAATTGTGTTAATAGTTATCTTCAAACACTTAAGATTTGCTAAAAGGTAGAAAATGTCCTACAGTCTACAGCAACACAAAGCTTGTGAAGTTCAAGCTCCTGCTGTCTGGATGTCCTTCTCACACATTTCTTTAAGAAAGTCCTGCCTGTTATTGCTACTGATCTGATCCAAATCGTAAACTCATCGCTTACATCAGGTGTTTTCCCCCAGGCTTTGAAAACAGCAGTCATCAAACCACTGCTAAAAAAGAACAATCTGGACAAATAACTACTGCAGTATTAAAGGCCGATCTCAAACCTCCCATTCATCAGCAAAGTTATTGAAAAAACTGTGTGTAAACAATTAAATAGTTTCCTCATGATGACCATCTGCTTTGACACTTTCCAGTCTGGTTTTTGTGCTCACCGCAGCACAGAGACTGCCCTTGTAAAAGTATTCAATGATATTCATATGAATACGGACTGTGGCAGAACCACGGTGCTGGTTCTGTTGGACCTCAGTGCAGCTTTTGACACTGTCGACCATGACATATTACTGAATCGACTGGAGAGTTGGGTTGGACTCTCCGGTTCGGTGCTCGACTGGCTTGAATCTTACATAAAGAACAGGGATTTCTTTGTTTCAATTGAAAACTTCTCATCAAAGAGGTCAAAGGTCACATGTGGGGTACCCCAAGGTTCAATCTTAGGACCCTCTTATTTAATATTTATATTCTCCCACTAGCTCAGGTCATAACAGGAAATAATATTAGCTACCATAACTATGCGGATGACACACAGCTCTACATCACGATGTCACCAGGTGACTCTGAACCCATCCAATCACTGAATAAATGCTTAGAGCAGATAAATGTGTGGATGTGCCAAAACTTTCTCCAACTGAACAAAAACAAAACTGAAGTCATTATTTTTGGACCTAAAGAGGAACGATCTAGAGTCAAGCTTCAGTTATTACAACTAAAAACTAGCGATCAGGCCCGCAACCTGGGAGTAGTGATGGACTTGGACTTGAACCTTGCGAGCCACATAAAGACAATTACAAAGTCAGCCTCCTATCACCTGAAGAACATCTCCAGGATCAGAGGACTAATGTCTCAGCCAGATCTAGAGAAACTCATTCATGCGTTTATCTTCAGTCACATTGATTATTGCAACAGCGTCTTCACAGGCCTGTCCAACAAATCAATCAAACAGCTGCAGCTGATCCAGAAGCTGCTGCTCGCGTTCCCACTAAAACCAGGAAGATAGAGCACATAACGCCAGTTTTAAAGTCCCTCCACTGGCTCCCTGTAGCTCAAAGAATATTTGTAAAATACTGTTGTCAGTTTACAAATCACTGAACGGTTTAGCACTACAATACATCAAAGATCTGCTGTTGTTGTATCAACCTTCCAGATCTCTCAGGTCTTCTGGTTCTGGTCTGCTTTGCATCCCTAGAACCAGAACCAAGAGAGGAGAAGCAGCTTTCAGCATCTATGCACCAAAAATTTGGAACAAACTTCCAGAAAACTGTTAAACAGCGGAAACCCTGACTTCCTTTAAATCGCAACTAAAAACACACCTGTTTAGAATCGTTTTTGAAATGTAATAATGTAAGATTATTTTATTTTGATGCATGACTTTGTGTTCTTGTGTTATGAAAGCAACTTAAAATGCCCCTGCTGATGAAATGTGCTATACAAATAAAATTTGATTTGATTTTGATTTTAAAAAAAAGCTAAAATTAGTTCAGAGACAACAGAAGAAGTGAGGCTTGGTAGCAACAGACAACCAGGTTTAAAAAAACAACAACTTGAACCTCCCTCCTTTGGGTCACATCAGCATCGGTTCCCCAAGACTTAAGCACCAATTTGAGAGCATCACACAGACAAAGTGAAAATATTTGAATTCCTGGGTTTGACTGAAACTAAACCACACAGAGACTGAAGTGCGAAGCAACTGCTGTTGACAGCTTGTTTTGACACATTGACCTGGTGACTGTGATCTCTCAGTGGTTTGAGTTTTATCTCTAGCCTGTTATTTTATCCCCTGGCAGTCAGTGAGAAACGCAGAAGTTGGAGGCCCCTGGGGCCCCGGCCTGCTACGTAATCTGCAGATGTGTGTGTGTGAACCTGGTTTTTATGTCCTCGTGGGGACCTACTTGTCTACAATGTGGGGTTGTGGGGACCACTGCTCGCTGTGGGGACATTTTCTTTGTCCCCATGAAGGGAAATGCTGTCTTTGGGTTAGGAGTTATTTATGTGATGGCTAGGTTTACAGTTAGGGGATAGGGTCAAGGGCCGTATGAATGGAAGTCCATGAAATGTCCCCACAAGTCATGAAAACACGATTCAGTGTGTGTATGTTTAGTTAAGCCAGAATTTTAAAACATCCTTCCTTCTCTGCTTATCCATTACACATACACTGTTCGCTAGTAATTCCTGTTTTTGTATGTTTCTCTGTGGCTGTGTGATGTCACATAGAAATGCTTCCAGAGATAATCCCAAAATTCTGAAATATTCAAACTGATGACTGCACTTCCTCTATGTCTGTGTGGGTGGGTGAGTGTGTGTGTTAGTCAGAGGGTAGATCGGGATAGTAAAGTGTTTTATATGTGTCATGTTGCTGTTATTTTTTTCTTTTCACATTTGCTAAGGTCTAATTTCACACCTTTAATATTTATTTATTTTATAAAGAGTAGTGAACTAATACACTGCTTCTTCCTCTGACCTTTATTTTGCAGTGTGGCTGTTTTTTTCCCTGTTTTTCTTATTCTATTTCCCTTTCTTTCTGCATAATGTCCATTTAATTAGATTTACCACTGTTTAATCTAAATCTACTGTCACCAACACTCATCTGTATCCAGGAGGCTTTTAAATGAATCCTGCATTAGTTGACATTTCATCTCTGCTTAACTGCCTCGGTGTAGTCGACCTGAGCTCAGTGGTGCTAATGTTCACCCTTCATTCTACCAGTTTTAATTTTCACTTTTCCTCCTGCTGCACTCCATCATTTTTACTCACTTTTTATATTATCAACCTGCCATCATATCTCACTTCCCTCACTGTCTCAAAATCACAGCTCTATTTTTCACATCTCCCTTATCTTTAGCCGTTACATCTTTAATGTAGCAACTAACTAAATATTTATTGAGTAATTTTAATTTTAAATGTAATTACAAGTTTGCCACCAAGAACTCAATCTCAATCTTTTTCTCCTACCTTGAGCTTCAGAATTTATCTAAATTCGTCCAATTACTGCCAAAACAGGTGGTTTTGAAAGCTACTTTCCCCACCTGTAATCTCCTTTCTCTGCATTTCTGTTTCTTGAATGGCAGATTTTATGCGGTGTATAATTTTTTTAATATACTGGTATTTATGATTTAGTAAGTTTCATTGTTGTAAAATAATATCTGATGTTTCCACATCAGATTCATAAGCAGGTTTGTAAAAGCTGAATAAGGATAGACTTTGACCGTCCGTCCATTCATGGATCTGTCACTATCACCGTGAAAACATTTCATATTTAATCAAGATTTAACAAACAACATAAAGCAACTTTTTTCTTTGTACAAAATCAATAGAGTCAGATGTGAAATTCTTTCCATACATTCCTTTATTTACCTTATTTACATCTGTCTTATTTTCCATCAAAAGAGTCAGACCTTATTTACTGAAGCAGGAGATCTACAGTGGGCCATACAATCTTGAATTATGGAGAAAGCATAGATACAACCAGAGTATTTTCACTGCATTTTATCTCATTTCACCCTTTGTTGGTGTTTTGTTAGACATTTATTGACGTTATTAAGGATATTTTTGTACAGGAACTTTTCAAACACTTATTTAAATAGAAATTATTACGTCTTCATAAGTGTTTTTATTTTCTCTCGACACATCACATTTTTCTGTAACAATTTAAGATGTGCCAGATTTTCTTATAACACATTATAATTAGCAAAGGCTTCAGATAAACAAGTAATAATTTGGTTTAATTACGCCACATATTTCACATAGACTCACTTTAGCGTTAACACCAAACTCTCTGCTGATATTAAGTTATTGCTTGAATTATAAACCACTACCCAAAGGAGATAGATTTGACAGCAACTCAGGGGAAACCTCCCACTTATCATCTCAACACTGGAAACATGTAAAGGATTGTAGTTACCTTCTACTAATTACAGTAAGCTATTGATAATCAAAATTTGGGTATTTCTGTTTCCACAAATTGTCATTTGAAAAATTCTAATCTTTTATTACCTGATATTCTTGTTCTTTTTGTGCTCATTTGCAGTTAACTTCTCCTGTATTTGGACTTTATTATTAACATTGGATCTGAGATAAAGTATTCAAGATTGAATAAAAGTTTACACTTCCAGCTTTCATTCAAGAGATTTAACAAAAATGTGTTCAGTTTTCGAAGCATAAGACAATGTAGCCTACAGAAAAGGACAAAAAGATGGACGCAGCATCTTTTTGTTTAAAAAAAAGAATAAAGAGCTTAGGATTTGTGGGTTCAAAAGATTTTAACACAACTTACTGTATGTACAAAAATAAAAGAACAAAAAAATCACAAATACCATGTAATACAGTTAATCAAGAAGAGCCAGTTGCTTTGGATAAAGCTAAACCCAATGCAGAAAAAAGCAAATTATCTGATAATTTCTGTAAAAATAGAAGGACAATCATATCTATTTTGATGCAAAGCCTAACTTTGAAACTTAATCTTTTTCCAAACTTTTGGTAATTTATGTATTTGTAAGCTTGATTTACAATTAAAATTAATTTTACAAAGTTAGCTACTGTTAGCTTTTTGTAAGCATTGCTAACACTGTTAGCACACCACAGATATGCTTTCTACTGCCACATTAAAGAAACGTAGAAATTTAAAATTATCTTTAAAAGTTGTGATCATTTGTGATCTTTTTAGTGATTTTACTGGAAGCATAAGTTTAATCTCTAAAACACTGTCTACTTTTGTTCATGTGAGCCTTATATTTACTGAGTTTCTTGGTTTTAGATTTTTTTTGTTGCATATTCAATAAACCTCTTCAGCAATAACTCTGCCATCAACAACATTAGTTATGGAAAACAGTTTATCTTTAAAATATTTACATATATGCAAATACAGAACAACAAACTGGTATTTTTAAACAGAAGAAATGTATTAAAACTCTGGAAAGAAAGCTGGAAATAGTTTATGCCTTTATTATTTTTATGTTGCCTTGATTTACAGCAGCAACATTTTTGTACTTTGTTTTTAGTTATAGATGGATAATAATCTATTTGATAATCAGAGGATTGGTGCTTTAATAAAAACCCAAACCCAAAATCAAATTCCCCAAAGAAAAACAAATGTAGAAAACTAAACCAGCAGCAACAAAAGAAGATGTAAAATAAAAAGTGACTGCATATATGGCATGTGTACACAGCATATATATTTATATGTGGCATGGACGGATCAAAGTATGTACAGATATTTGCTGTTAAATGCATAGAAACTCCAAGATCAGAGGGTGTAAATAAATAAGAAGCTTAATTAGGGTATTTTCAATTTGAGCTTAAAATAAATAAACTTTCATTCATGACAGGTGGGCTGGATTACTTTGGAAAAAAAAAATAAATGGCGTCATCTTAAATCCCCCAAACAATTGACTCAACAGAGTCATTAAAATCTTCTTGTTGCCTAAGTTATATCAAATCATGGCTTTTTATAAACATCAATGGCTCTATCTCATTTAAACAGCCACACTGACCAAAATTACAGACTCGACAAAATGCAGCTGAACTACATAAATACATACAATGTATAAAAAACGCATCCATGTTTTTCCTCATTGACATTAGCGCAGACTAAATCCCTTCCTGTTAAAGTATTTTTATGTGGTAAATGCCAGAAATATTTTTTTTTATTACTTCAGTCAGAAGTTGACATGAATGCCACTTCAAAAACACAAATTTTGTTCTTAAGGCACTTTGTAACTAATTTGATGATATATCTGGGATTAAAGATAATTTTTAAGACCATTTTTATCCAATCTCCAATTCCAAAACAGATGTGTTGAGATATTTCTTCAATATTTTCTTCTCATATTATTTCCTCATGATCCCATCTATTTTATCATCCCTGTTGTAGACTTGTTGCACATACAGCTCTGGAAAAGCATAAGAATGAGCCCACAGACATGTTGTCAGTAGTTCATAGAACAATGTTCATTTTTCTCAAACATATACCTATAAAAGCAAAACCAGAGAAACTGGTCATGTTAATATTTTCCAGAGCTGTATATTTCATAATATATCATGACCATCTCTGGGACACAAAACCTCCAACAGGAAGATTCTTACAGTGTTAATACCGCCAATTAGAAATGGTATCAAAGGATAAACCAGACGACTTGTGGAGCATTATAATTCTGTTCCTGAGTGTTTTGACCAATTTCTTTTGAATTTCCCCACAATCTTACACAATGAAGTAGTATATTTGAGGTGCTGCATTAATGCATCAAAAGGCTAATTTGTAATCAACATAAATTAAACAGAAACTTTTTAAACTACAGTGTATATAAACTTCTGATTTTAGAAATAGTAGTAAAGGTTCTCTAAACTATTCTTTCTCCCGTTATTCTGGCATTTTCTTTTTTTAAGGAAAGTGGTTTAATTTAGGAAAAAAGTTGTCTTTTTATACAGTCTATGTAAAAATTAGATTTCAACTGTGTTTCTTTTGGTAAATTTGATAAAAACAGAAAAATCAAGCAAAGCTTTGAAAAAATGAATCCCATAATGCAACGTTTTTGAGAAAACACGATGTGCAGCAAAGGTAAACTGGAGTTATTGGATAACAGCGGTGATTCCTGTGATGGAGAAGAGATACATGAAGACGACATTTCTGTAGAGGGAGACAGGCTCTTTCATCTATTTATATTTTTTACAAACATTTAGATCATAAACATCTCAAGCACCATAGATAATAACATTAACAAATCTTTAGCGTTTCTATCCATTCAATGTAAATGGAACCAGGCAGAGAGCTATGACTTTCATAAGTGAGATTTATTTATTTTAGTGTTTCAACACAATGTAATCTTACTTTAATTCCTTTACTGAGAAATTTATAATTCAATTTCAATACCATACTCTGTACTATTATATCTTTTTCTGTCATAGTTCTTTTTAAGTATTTATTTGTCGTCACACATAGCCTCTACATGGTCCCATTGTTCCCAAATAAAAAAGAAGTCTTATTAGAAAACACACACATTTACAAATCATTCAGTTTCTTTTAGAGTAGAGCAGAACAACACGGATACAAATAACGGCCAGTCACTCAGCAGCCAGTCAGTCTATGGATGCATTTAAAAGTGGATCAGAGACGGATCTTTTCACCTCCGCTCCACCTCCGACTCTGACACTTCTTTCCTCTGTGAACATGGAAAAGCGATCACATCTGTACCAGGGGACCTGAGCCGCAGGAATCCTCCTGAGTCCTGCTGATCGAAACGCAGACGTGCGTCATTTGAGAGAGAGGTCCAGGCAGAGACTGCTCCGTAAATTAGATTCTCTTTTCCTCTGCGCCCTTACACGCTGAATCTGAAATCCCCACGTCTCGTACCAGAGTTTGCTTCGGTCATGTACAGCTCTGGAAAGAAATTTGACTAAACCCCATTGAAAACCTCCTGGTTATTCTACCAAACATTGATCTCTGAACTCTTCCAGAGTTAAAACATTAGTATTGTTGTTTCTAGATGAATATGAACTAGTTTTCTCTGCATTATTTGAGGTCTGAAAGCACTGCGTCTTTGTTATTTTGACCATTTCTCATTTTTTGCTAATACAAAATTTTTGCTTGGAATTTTGGAGACATGTTGTCAATAGTTCATAGAATAAAAGAACAATGCTCATTTTACTCCAACATTTACTTGTAAAAAGTAAAATTAAGAGAAACTGATCACTAATTTTTTCCAGAGCTGTAGTTTCTCACATTGACAAACCAATGGTAATACACTAAAACATTTTTTTAAAAATCGAACTGGGAAACACCAACCCACAGAAAAACATCACACTGGGAAATTGCAAAATGAACATTTCCGAGGACATACAATTTTTTTCTACACTAGCACCATACCAACAGCATGTACACAAAAAAATCAGAAAGAATTGGTCTTGGTGGTGTTAGAAATGTTCTGAAGGCACTTATCTTAATCATTTCCTCTTTCTCTCAGGAATACAATTCAGCATCTTTCTGTCATTAAACCTCATTGCAGGTTCAGTAATGTACCTGTGAATTACATTCGTCATAAGTGTAGTTTATTTTTATTTATAAAAAATGAAAATAAACTACAGGTCTGATTTCTTCCACCTTTTCTTTGTTGTTGTTTTTTCAAAAGTGGCATTTTGTTGTCCGGTTTTCTTTTTCTCGGTACATTCCTAGCTTAGTGTGAGTGGCGTTTGATTTTCATTCAGTAATCTGCTGTAATCCAATCTCCTTCTCTTCTTTGAGTATTTCACTCAAACACTAAAAGCTTGACGTTTTCACTGCAGCTCTTTCTATTTGTTCATCTGATCTAACGGGTCGCTCCGTTCTTTTGTCCACTGTTAGAATAACGTTTTCTCGTTGTGGTCTCTCTGGCCGCCTCTCATCCGTCTACCGGTGTCTTGAGGACACATCAAAGCAGGTAATCATCATGAGATGGGCTTTGCAGAAGTTAACTCTGGTTTCCAGTTTGTTGGTCACCGTTTCCAGTGCCTCCAAATACTCCACTGAGTCCACGTTATAGGGCTGCTGCAGTTCGACTGGAAAAAGAAGGAAGGATAAATTACGTTTTTTTGTATGTTTATTTGAATCCCCAGTAGCCATTTACGTTAAATATTTATCACATTCAATATAACATTAGTGGTGGTTCAAAAATGTACAATTATAATCATTCATATTAAAAAAATAATTGAGCTGGGAGTTTTTAATTACCATTTGTTACATTTAAAACAGATCAAGAAAGTGAGTTCTGGTTCTTTTTGTTGCATGGTGGAAGAGGAAAACTACCTTTTAAAGCATGTCTTGTGTAATTGTGTCAAGTTTGGACAAATAAAAGTTGATTATTCAAAGCATCACATAGTATAATCATTCTAAAACAAAAGCATAAAAGGGGAATTTCAACCCTATTTCTTAACCAAAGGCCAATCTAAAGCTTTGTGCGAACTAAAAATATTTATATGAAACAATTCACTGCAAGACAAGCCACCCTATCTTGTTTGTAGTTCACATATTTATAATGTAAATGTCTTATTGTAACAACATTTTCTCATTTTTCTGCCCATCATCTGAAAATGCAAAAGTATGACTTAACAAATCTACCAAAATATTAAGATTGTCCTCCATCTAAGGCAGGAACGTCTGATATCAAGATCACAAATGTAAACATAGAGCCAGTAGTGGTAAAATGTATCAATAAAAGTGTTAATATAAATAAATATGTATTTCTGCATTTGATCAGCACTTCTTAAAGTTAAACATCTTTTCACATTCATGTAATTTGACAGCATTCAGGTAAAAACTGCTTTGATTTGATTGGTAAAATAACATTTGAGCAAACAACTGTTTTCTTGAAGGCTCTAAAGTGTTTATTTCTATAGTCTGGAGGGCCACATAAAAAGCTATAGGCGGGCCGGATTTGGCTCCCGGGCCTTCAGTTTGACACGTGACCTAAGTCAACAACTTTTCATGTGACTTACACTTTATTTATTTAATGTATTATTCCAACATAAAGTAGGAAACTTGAGCCTAAACCAGAAAATCCCAACATAAAACTTTTCTACAGTAAACAGAAACTATTAACAGATGTTGATAGAAAATTACTAATGAAGGTTCAGTAACAAAAGCTACCAGAGCTGCTTCTCTTTATCCAGAAATATTCTCCATTTTTAAAGTGTTTTTTTTTTTGCAGAGGATGAGTAGAGAAAATGAAGGAAGCAGTCTAGACTAAAATATGGCTAAACTATAAAGTTGAATACTAAATGAGGCAAATATATGTGCGTGATAAATGAGTGGATTAATACATTCATTGCTGACAAATGAGCTCTTAAAAGCCTCCTCTAACCAGCTGCCGACGTCTTATCTGCTCTCGCACACATCATGTTCCCTGATGTGCTACACTTACACTCAGCTGTCCATTTGTGTGGCTCCAGCATCAAGTGCTGTTTGGTTTGCTCCAGTTCTTTCTTCAGACACTGGTACTTGGCTCTGACTTCACTGATTCGCTGCTGGCGGTGCTCCAACACACGCAGCCTGGCGCTGACAAACACACCCTCCTGACACACGCAGACAGAGAAAGCGTCAGCAGAGTGAAAGGGTTTTTATTTACCTTTACATTTCCAGAGGAGCAACTTGCAAAGCACTTTCAGCAGGACCGTGTTTAACATTCACGCGGCTGCACACATTCGCCCCTCATTGATTCCCAGTTGGACCACAGTTGGGTATGTGGGACACAGAGCCGCTTCGCTGGACCAGTTGGGGGTTAAGTGGCTTTCTTAAGGCCGCTGCAGGGAAAATCTATATTTCATGCTATTTTCTCCCTCCTTCTTTTCCAAAGCTCACAACTCTGTCCCCCTTGAATACACAGAGACTTAACAATGGAAACCCAAAAACCTGCACTGTGCATATTTTTGCAATAATTTCCTAAGTTGCAGTCTGTTCCTCAAATCCCTTTTGCATCAGGAAGACTCCACATTGCTCATGGTGTGTAGTGAGTACTTTATATTGTAAAAATAGTTTCTTCTTTATATCTCAGTGTTTTTTCCTGTCTTCTGATTCTTCTTTCACTTCAAAAACAAAATATGATCAAATGTTTTTTGCTTATTTTTTATTAGAGAAAATCTTTTCGTCCACTTGAAATAACCATTTTACCTGATATAGGAACTTGTTGTAAGTCAACAGTTCCTCAATATTGATTAAAAATATTAAGGAATTAATTTTATATAAATATGTCACTTATAGCAAGACGAAATAATCTGTCAGCAGACTCAGAACTGATTCTGAAAACAGCACATGTGTCTGAAAAAAATAAACACCCAGCTGTCCTTTGGCATTAAGTTCATAGCAGCTGTTTTGGATTTAAAGTTTTAAGAAACCCACAAACAGCTCAAAATATGCAGAATTGAACAGAATGAAGTCTCATGATCTCAGGATGATTTTGTGTGGAAAAATGTTATAAACATGTTTCGTATGGTTCATTTCTCAACCTGTATTTTGCTTAAGGAAGCAAAATATGTCAACAAAACCCTACCTTGCTCCCTCCTTTGTCCCTTCTCTTCTGCAGTCGCTCCACATCGTCAATCTCGTACACTTTGATCTCAATGGTTTCTGTGGATGCAGCTGCACTGCGATGGTTTGAGGACGCAGGAGGCCCCAGTGGGCCGTCCACCCAGCATGCTCCTGCACTGGAGGAGGAGGATGAGGAGGACGTAATGGCTTGTTTGGAGGAGCGCTGAGAAGGTGACGAAGACGAGGAGTCCAGGGTCAGAGCTGGAATCAGACGTCGCCGCTGGAGGCCTAAAAGAAGAGAAAGGAGTGAGTATTTACACGTGTAGAAAAACAATTTGATTATAAAATTACAAAGAGTCAAATCCTTAAATACATGACTAAGCCTTTTTTCAATATAAAATGTGTGATTAAATTAATTTGCAATGCTAAAATAGATTCTGAAAAGCCATTTTCTACCAATTTTTAAGTGAAATATTTTCTTTAAAAGCGATGTACTTGACAATACATCTATAATGTAGCCATGTTTAGTATAAATCTTTAAAAAAAAATTAAAATACAGAGAAAAGTCAAATTTAGCCTCACCATAAAAGCCAGAGCTCATCCTGACAGGCTGCAATTGTCATTTTCCTGTTTGCTTCAACTGTATTCCACCCAAAGTCCTATTTTTCACAGAAACTTTAAAAATAAAGGAAGCAGTGATTCTTAAAAACACTGGAAACATGTAATGTTCCTCCCACTTCCCAACTCGACACTTTTCTGTGTAAATCTTACATAAAATGCAAATAAATTGAGGTTTGCGATTATGAGGGACAAACAGAAAAAAATAAATATTGATTCTATATCTTTGCAGAATATACATAGCAATCACTGGAGATGGGCAGAGATATGATGGGATTCATTTTGCATTTTTATTTTAGAGATGTTATTCTGTTTAAACTGTTATTAATGTTGCTCATTTTAGCTATGTTTATTTTTACAAATGCTAACAGCTCATTTTGAGCTTTTGCTCTGTAGTTTTAGGGTTATTTATTATAATTTATTTAATGTATAGGGCAGTGGTTCCCAAAGTGAGGGGTGCGCCCCCTACAGGGGGCACACTGCCATTGCAGAAAATCTTTGGTGACCACTGATATAGGGACAGAAGCTGCTGGGCTGATTTTAACCACCAACTTGAGTTTCTCTTTTCTTAGAATAAATGCAGTGAATCTGTGCGTCTGTCCTGAAGACGACACTGTGGCCCTGAGGCAAACAGAGATGAGTTTCTCTGACAGACAGAGAAATGGAGGAGGGAAGGTGTCAGTCAAATATGGAGTACTAATTAGTCTGTATTTTAAGCTGTAGTCTAAATACTGTAATCACAGACTTTCCTCAGAAAGCCTAAGAAAGGAAGGAGATAAAATGTGGCGTAAGAAGAAAGCAGTTATTTTAATATGACTTTCAGCTGGCTTTGGCCTCCATTCAGCCCAAAGGTCAAGCAGAGACATTTGTATTTCATTAGGACATATTACAGAGGGTCAAGTAAATGTATAGAAAAAAGAATCCAATCAAATGGCAATCAGGCACAAAGAGAGATTGAGCTGGCGGAGGAATGAAAATGTCTTTTTTATCATTTGACACAAAATTCACTTTTCCTCCATCAAGGCTGTCCTTTTGTGCGACACCCTGAAAGCACATTAGCTCTTTGTGCATCAGAATCTGACGCGGTTAAAGCAAAATAAATCCAGATTTTATGCTGAATATTCGGAAGGTGAGACCGTACGCACCGGGGATGAAAGGCTAATTCCAGTTTAAATCAATAATCAGTCTTGCAGCAGACAAGGCTGCACTCTTTCCAATCTGATTTCATGCACACAGCCACCCTAATGCTGAAGCAGAAGAGAGTCATTTGGCAGGTACATTAGCAACCTCTTTGTGTTAGATTCTGGTGAATATATATTCATTACAGCCTACACCGCCACGTTCCCTTTTACCATTTCACAGATGGCTGGTCAGGGTCACCTTTCCTACCTGGCTCCTCCTTCAGACACAGCTTTCTGCTCTTTTTGCTTGTCTGATCACTTTTCCTTGACTGTATTTTTTTTTTTTTTTGCGATGGTATTTCTGTCATCATTAGTTTTTCTCATCTTCTTTGACATCCTTTGACTGTTTAGTGTGATTTGCAAGCTGAAATTGGCTGGAAATTTTTTTTCTTTCTGCTTATCTTCATTATAATTTCATTTGGCAGTGAGTTGGCAGTGAGTTTGTGGTAATTTCTTATCTTCTATTCTAATTATATCTTAATGGAAATTACACATACAGGCAGCTCCCTTAATACCATAGGGTTGATGAAGGGTCACGAGATATTGATGAAACAAAACTGGTCTGAATTCATTATTAACCAAAGTAACCTCACTACATTGGGAGTTTTTGCTGATGTGATGTATCAGAGGTGACCTTGAATAGGTTAGGATTAGTCTATTACCTGCCTGACCAAATGTTCTGGAAATGGCTTATTTTACAAACACCAAAAAACAGTAACTTATTATCATAAAAACAGCTGGGTGGTTCTCTTTAAGCATGTGGGCTGTTTTTAGAAGCAGGTCAGGCCAAGATGGAATTATAAAATGTACAAAATGTAAATTTTGGGTAAAGATCCCTTTTAATAAACGTGTGAAACTGTAACCTGAGTTGGTCCTGCTCTTCTTGCTGCTCTTGGAGCTCCGTCGGGACGAGGTGGTGGCTGAGCTGTGCTCGCTGAGTGAGTCTGGAGCCGAGGAAGTGCTTCCTGTGTTCTCACTACTGTCTCTTAGCATGCTCTCGTAGCCACTGCTGCCTCCGCTGTGGTAAAACAGGGCAGTCTTCCCCATTGCTGGGGGAAGCTCTCCACTCAATACACTGCTGTTGGAGTCAAAGAAACAATCCAGTTATGATCAAAATTATTTTGGGGAAAATCAAGCCTTGACTTGTCACTATACCTGTTGTCACTTGCATGGCCGCTGCTGCAGCGGTGTGGTTTCCTTGGGGCTGTGATCTTGCTGTAAGGAGAGGGGAGTGTTTGCACCACAGCTGCCCTCTCCTCTCCCAGGTTATCACCACTTGCTCCACCTCCACTGAGAAAAACAAGTCAAGAAGCAAGATACAAAATAAAACATGAACAGATCAGTAATTGAAATATTTGTTTTGTTTATCGCAAGATGGAAAACAGTGTGAGAGCAGCTTCACCAAAATGAAATAAAAACGAATTCACCTTGCTGCTGCTGCAGGTCCTTTTTCCTCGGCTCGATCTGTGCTTCCTCCCTGGACGTGGCCTCTGGAGCGAGATCCTGCACTTCCTTGGAGGAGCTCTGAGATTCTGCTATTGACTGCCCGCAGAGGCAGTTTGGCTGTTAGACTTCCCCCCCGACTGCGGCTCAGGGACTGGGTCGACCACGATCCAGGGGCAGATCCTTGCTGCTGCTGAACGGGGGCCTGGACTGAGTTCTAGGGTTTATTCGTTAAAGAAAAGCAACATCACATCATCAGCTCAATGGTTCACTTGTGAGTTGGTCGAGATGTTGTGTTCCTTTCTAGTTTAGTTTCACACCAGCCCTGTTTAATCCACTTTCTATTTTTAATTCTAGTTTGTTAGCCTAGGAACTCATTTGGGAGGTTTACAAGCACAATTGGCCTAACTCTAATCCACGTAAAAACCTTGATCTCGGTTCGGTTGAAGTGAAATCTGGCACAGTATGAATGCATATGTGAACACCAAGCAAACCGGAAGCTACTCCAAAAGCAGGAAGTAAACTATAGCGCAGGGCATTCTGGGTAAATATGACCAAAACAAACCTGTAAGTCTAGCTAGATTAATGCCTTGTGGTCTGTTACCAAAAACAACAGAGAAATCCTACAACCAGTTCCTTCAGTGTTGGTGTAGCGACCCCACAGGTAAGGAAGGAAACACGCTTCTCCAAAGACTTTGGTTTGTTTGACACAGTGCAGCATAAAAGAAAACTGCATCAGCAGAAAAAGTAACAAATGTTGCAATTTTGGTCCTCAAATGTGCCGAGCCAATTGGACTATCAGGTGTGAAAACACCTTTAGAGGCAGTTCCTTACCTTTCCGTTCGGGGGGAGGCTGGAGCTGCGGCTGCTTGTATGGTTTAATGACTTGGTGGAGAAGCTCAGAGTCTTGGTGCTAGATGCAGAGAGACTCCTAGATTTAGGACTGCTGGTCATAAGCAATTTACTGACTGCTGAGATTTTTGACTGGCCACTGCCCTTGGCTGGTGACTGTGGCGCACTGCTTGGACTACTGCTTCCACTGAAACTGGGGCTGCTGAGGTTCCCAGTGGGCGATGATACTGAGCCAGTCCGGGCGATGCTGCGACCAGTGCGAGGCATAGTAGAGTCCCGTCTAACTCCTCCTGCCCCCATAAGGCTCTCACCTCTCTCCAGGGAAAAGCAGTCATAGTGGTGGGAGCCACTGTGCGAGCTGTGAACTCTGCCAAGAGAGTTTGTTCGGTTGGCCAGTTGTTCTAACTTGGCACTGAAGAGTCTACTACTGTCGATGCTGGAACCACGATGTCTGGTGATCCCTGAATTGTCTGTAGAGCTGCTTAGTGATGACACTCCATAAGTGGGTTGGGGGAGAGGACTGGCTGCCCTGTTTCTCTGATCAAGGCTGGACTTTCGTACTGGTGGAAGAGGTGGAATTCCTCCCTTCTTGTGGGAGAACAATCCCTGTTTTCCTTTGGATCCTAAACGTTCAAGTGTGGCACGGGGACTGCAGGGTGTTGAATTGGTGACTCCAAGGTTGCGGTACTCTGTTCCACTTTCTAAGCCATCCTGGTGGTTGAGTCGGTGCCAGCCGCGGGGAAGACTCGCTGTGCGGTGGATATCTTGGCTGCAGATTCCAGTCAAACATTCACCTTGGACACCAACAGTGATCATCTCGCAACCATCCACAACTCTCTTGAAGGAGTCTGGAGAGGAAACCACTTCACCGCCTGATCCAGAGCTACTGTGATCCCCACCTAAAGAGAGAATTCACATGAAAATAAATAGATAAAGAAATAATACAAACTAAATGCATTTTGCTTGAGGACAATAGCTGCTTGTTTCTTACCGTCCTTGCAGAAGTCCCTTCCTTGGCTCTTTAAAGGCTCTACTTCCCTTTTTTCTGGCTTAACTTCACAGATAAGTTCTCTAGGCCTTCCTTCCTCCATTCCACGTTTCAACCAAGGGTCTTCAAAGTTTATCTCACTGGAGATGGAGGCTAAAATTTCAGCTTTAGCTTTCCCTGTGTCTTTCATTAAGGCCGTCTTTATTGGGGAAGAGAGGATTGTGGGCTCATGTATAATCATGGGTTTGACAACCATGCAAGGGTGAACACTTATTGTAGTCTTGAAAGGGGAAAGATTTCCAGGCCCAGGCAGAATCTGAATGTTAGTTTTCGCCATAGATGGTGGCAGTTTTCTCTGCCTGTCTCTGTTTGGAGTCCCTTTATCCGACGCCTTCTCTGATAGATCGAGCTCTCCTTCCAGACTGCCTCTTCTTGAGCTTCCCCCACTCCTACATCCATCCAAAACCTCAACTTCAAAGCTTTGGCTGACTTCAGAATCAGCCAGTGCTTCTCCTTGCTGTCTCTGAGACTGGCTGAAGCTGTGCATAGACTGATCTGCTTCGCTGCACATGCTGAGATCGCTCATCCAAGAGGACATGGGTGATCCGGAGTTTGACATTCCTGTTGCTAAAGTTTCACCAGTCCGCAACTTTGCCATCGCTTCCTGCAACAGTGAGCAACACAGTCACTGTTGAATATACAGTGAAATATATATACACCAGAAATATATTCTTTAGTTTACTACAGTGTCTTTCAATAGTATTCACATCTTTTAGGCTTTTGTTATATCACAACTACAAATAATTTCTTTGGATTTTATTGGGATTTTATCACTCTGACAAAGTGATTTTGAAATGGAAGAAAATGTAAGTTTTACGCAACTAGGCTGGAGTTGTTGCTCATTCTTCTTTCCAAGCTAAGTCTGGTACATGACTTTTAGATGAAGTTTTATTTCAACAATTGCTTTCTTCTTGCCACTGCTTTCTAAAACACTCTGAGTTGTGAAGTAAACAGTAAACATTTGACCGTTGCAGCCCCTCCAGAGTAACTATGGATCTCCTGGCTGCTTTTCTGTCAGTTTTAGTAGCTTTGAAGTTTTGCCACATTGTTTCACATTGTTTCCATGTTCAGATGTTGGATTGAATTGCTCTCCTTAAGATGTTGAAATTATTGTTTTAGAAGCTGGTTCACTTCTCAGATAATTTCTGGAACCAATTGGCTAAAGTCATTGGTAAAAAAAAATAAAATACCATAAATCTATTGCTTTTGACTTCAGTATTATGTACTACTTTGTGTTGGTCTATCCTGAAAAATGCTAATGATATACAGTTTAGTTTGTTGTTTGTAATGTGACCAAATGCTTTAAAAGTTGAATATTTTTGCAAAGGGTTCCAAGTCTGTTTCAGCCCTCGCCAAAATCAAAAGCCAAACAGTCCCACCAACCTCTGCCATTGCCACCACATCCTTAACGCTTGTGTTTGCTGCAATTCCTGAAGACAGGTGGTAACTTTCCATTGTTCCATCTAAAGCAGCGTCACTGCTAATGGCAATGGGTTGAGGTTCTAAAGCGAGGGCAGCTTCAGAGCCACAGTCGCTGTTAAAGCTGATGATGCTCACTGGACGACAGACCAAGCTCTGGTCTTCAACAAGAGCTGTAGCGACAATGTCCTCTTCATCTCTGCAGGCCATGGTGTAAACTACATCATCCTCCCCAGGGAGAAGAGTCCCACTTCCTCCTATAGATGCTGCTGCAGCTAAGGTTTTGGAAGGAAGAGAAAAACTTATTCTTTCAAGCATATTTATCAGTCAGTTGTGTCTAATGTTCATGAGTTATATGTCATTACTGTCTTTGTGTGCGTCCAAAGGTATCGGTGGGACATCGTCGTCACAGAGTGTCTCAGCTGAGCCCAGGCTGGCAGAGAGGGATGCGGTTGGCTCTCGGACTTGTGGGCTCATCCCTGCAGGAGAAGTCCTGGACAGCAGTGACTCTGTGGAGGAGCGGCCACTGTCTGCAGCCAAACTGTCTGCAGAGTCACAGGAGCACAGTTAACGTTGAAATTAAATGTGTTCCAAGTTCAGATGGCATGCATTGACGTATTTGGTAAATTTGTTACATGGTGCATTTATCTGTTACAAGCTACTATTCAGAGATAGGTAGAGTACCCAAAAATTGCACTCAAGTAGGAGTAGCACTATTTGAACATATTTTTATTTAGGCAAAAGTAAAAGTAGCTGTCTAAGAAATCACTAAAGAGTAAGAAATTGTCTGTGCCTCTATTAGATTGTGCATAGCCATGTTAAAAAATTGCTACATCTCAGTCTAAAATTGCTTTGCTTTTCTTCTTTGAAGTGGATCAGGAAGAGATATGTTATTTTTATGTTTTGTTCTGTAAAGTTATCCTTAAAATAAAGTAATGGAAAAAGAGGAAGAAAGTATTTGGTAAAAAGGCTACTCAAATATTAAAAAACTGGTTAAAAGATAAATGATTGAATATTTAAAAATTACATCACAAGATGGTCCAAAATATAGTAATGTGATAATGTTGGTATTTTAAGGCCCAAAATGAAAATTATGAATATAATTACAAAATAATATCAGTCAAATTACTTTTTTCTTAATTAATTTAACAAAACTTTAACAGAAACTGCGGTTGTGTGTCTGTGTCTGGTGAAAAACCAGTACCTGTATATATTTTGTAAACCCTGTCTTGCTTTTATTTCACCTTCTGGTTGTAATCCTTATTTTTGTCAGCAGGTGGTGCTGTTGTTGCAGAGAGTTCTAGAATTACCGGAAGTTGAAAAAATCTCTCCTTTTCATCCTCTCGCATTCTAACGGGTAAAGCGGAATAAAAGGACAATTTTGAGTCTTTATGGCCACATGGATGAAGAATCCAGGTTTTCGGTAATTAATGTCTGAATTCACGTCATGTTTTTAAGTTTGTCCTCTTTTAGAGGGTTTATTGTACCGTTGTGTTTAAGTTTTCCGTGAAGCCGCGTTGCTACATCTCGAGTGCTAATAGTGCTTTTACTGCGCCATTTTGTTGAAACCGTTCCAAGTTAGGAGCTTTATGCTAGTATTTTGTATATATATATATATATATATATATATATATATATATATATATATATATATATATATATATATATATATATATATATATATTTTTTTTTTTTTTTTTTTTTTTTTTTTCCCGAGGATTATTGTTTGATTTATTGAAAGTAGGCTGACAGGAAGGAGAGGGGAAGACGTTCGGCGGGTTCGACTCCGGGGCCGGGAGTCGAACACAGCACGCCCTCGCTCCATACATTGAACTTTTAATTTTGCAACTCGGAGAACACTTTTATTTTTGGGAATAAAGAATTCCTTTTATTTGAAGTTCTGTAAGCTCTATTAATCCCGGCTACTTGTGTAAAACAATAATAATAATGATAATAATTACTATCAGAGGTCAAAGCCTCAGTGGCCTGGCCGTCCTGAGCCAGGCTGTGTGAGGATGGTGGGGGTGTTGATGGCATCACACCCTTCTGAGTGTACACCTTACATCGCTGTGATGGGGAAGATGGAGGCCTGGGAGGGGAAACAACAACAATAAATAACACATTTCTATATTATAAGCTGTTATGAAAACACAGGAAATGATTAATATGAAGATATTCAAATTATTGTTCCAGTGTAATTCATGCCTCACCTGTAGTCTGAGGTTTTTGTCAGGCTTGCGATGCCCAAGCGCGGCGACCCAAGAGGACGAGCCTTCCCCTCAATATTTCCGACCGCATTCAGATTCTCATGGCTTCAAAAGGAGACAGCTGACGTCATATATTTCCCCGAGAACAGCCGAAACGTCTAAATGTCAGAGTTGAGACAGCACACAGATGCCAGCAATCCTCACCTGTCATGTAACTGAGAGTTCTTGGCTTTGTGTGAGGGATTGGAGGTGATAATGCTGCTGCTCCCAGTTATGCTCCTGGAACTGGTAACCAGGGGGCATCCAGTGGCCTGAGCTAAACTGTGGATCATTGTTTGAGCGAGCTCTGCCTCCTCCACCACCTCCTTGATCTCTTGAAGCTGCTGGTCATTGCTTCTCCTCTTAGAGGCTGCCGGTAATGGAGCAGGTGAATTAATATTTCAGTAAAATCTTTCATATGCAGAGTCAAGAACCTAAGTTGGCAACATGTTTCCAGGGCATTTCTTTCTGAAAAATTAAAATTGGGTGCCAAGACCCTCTAAGAAAATGTATTTTTGCACTAAATTTGTCGATATTTATCCCTGATGAATATGTGTGGTTCCAAATCATACATAATTGGACAGGAAAATCATATTTATCGATAATTTTATACAATTTTTCAAGATGGTTGTAATGGAGAATACATGTTTGCACTAAAATTGTCAGTAGTTTTAGCCAGTGGTGGGCATGGCTAACCAACCACTATTTACTAATTTACAAAAAAAGGTCCACTAACGCAAAGCGACTAAACACATAAAAAATGAGCAGAAGCCAGTGTTAAATGGCTAAATAAGCTGATGGTAATGCTAAATTGCTAACCACAAAAGTATTGGAAGCTGACACAAAACTGCTAGGTACATAAAAATTAGCAGATCAAGCTAACACTAAACTGCAAAACAATTTTTTTTTGCAAAAGCTAATGCTAAACAGTTAAGTATCTTTAAAAAAATTTGCAGATGCTTATGTTAACCATTAATATCTCTGTTTCTGTCACACATCTTCACCTTCTCCAAGTTGACAATTGGTGTGAGGCTCACAAACAGCAACTTCCTCAGTTTCTGACTTTTCAACATATTAGTATTTAAAGTTGTATTAATATGATTTTAAAGTACATAATATATGATGTAACAAAAAGTTAATCCAACACATGAAAATTAGTAACATTTTATGTCAGTAATTAGTTTAGAAGGCTCAAAAATTGCAGCCATCTTGCAAAATGGCAGTCATCATGAGGCTAAATATGAGCAACAGCCTAAGGGGTGAGCATGCTAATTTTTATGCTTGTATGCCCAATTGAAAGATTTTTGCAGTAACAAGGTGCACTATAATGACAAAGAACTATTGTTCTTATTTTTTTTTACATGTTTATTGTAATAAGGTGTTGGGAAGAGATATTAACTTAAATCTCAGGCAGTACATCGGTTAAATTACCTATTTTGGCCTCGGCATCCAGCCCATCTGCAGAGCCTGGAGCAGATGAGGAAGGACATGACTCCTGCTTGGCACTGGGTTTGCTTGCGGGAATTTCTTCAAAGGGAAATTTTGCCACCTGGAGAAATGAAAAGAATAACTGCTTCAATATCAACCTAATTTTTTTCTACGATTTAGCGTTCCACATAAAAACAGTAGAACTGAAGCTTATATTGAAGAAAATGAACACACAGCATAGAACAATTTAAATCAAATATCTTTTGGTTGGAACGATTTATAGTTTAATCTTCACAATCATTTCCAGTGGGTTTTTTGGGGTTTTTTTTATAAATGGAGGCATCGGTCACCTCCTCACTGCCGTCAATGCAGTCCAGTCTCTCCTGCAGCTCAGCGAAGGTGTTGCATTTGAGACATTCGGCTCCTTCCTCTGGAACTGGAGCCAATGGTTGACCAAGCAGTGATTGGGAGGGCTGCGGCGGCACTGGGCCACTGGTCTGCTCGTCTGTCTGAGCCTGAAAGTAGGAAAGGAAGCCATTAAGTTATAATCAAATTCTTTGAATAGTTTTTTTTAATGGTTTCAGATAGTTAATGCACTGGAACTCTGTTCATACTGTTGAAAAGAGACATTTTTCTGTAAATTACACAAAAATGCTTTGGAAACTGGAATCTGATGTTTCTTTTGGAGTGATGAATTCTTGCTGGCTGATTGTTGGTGCATAATTCTTACCACCTCCAGCTGGCCTCTACACAATGTTTTTTGCTTTTACTTGCACATCTTGCATCAAAATCCATTAATTTCTGGGACACAATGCATCAACTTGTACCTCAGGAGCAATAAGATGTGGAAGTCCATAATAGCTTCCTGTTTCATTTTCTGCTCCATGTCTCTCAAGGAGGAAGTAGTTTTGAGGTGTTGCCTCCTTTTTATACGCATATTGTGAATAAACCAGTCAGAATCTTCCATCATCAGCCATAGTGTAACTTATAACTTTTCAATTACTTTGAATCACATTATAATATTTTTCCATAAAAATCTTTTTCATTTTGACATTTAGCAACTATAAAGAAGTTTGGCAATCCTGACTGAACTAAAGGAGGAAGATTTTCATCTGATAATGTGAATTATGTTTTTACCTCACTTTTGGTTACATTTGGTTTCAGATGTATTGACCCTTGACCCCTGACCTTGTTCTGGACTCCAGCCGGCGGACCTTGCCCCTGTATTTGATGCTGCTCAGGTGTTTTTCCTCGGAGCAAAGCTGGGACAATCGGGACGAACTCCGGCGGCCCCTCGTTGTCCGTCAGCTCTCTGTCCGACACCGCCGCTCCGTTTGGGCCCACGTAGATCACCGTGTCGCAGGACTGCTCGCTGCTGGAGTACTCGTCCGGGTCGCTGGACAGCCTCAGCAGTGGCAGTTCGGAGTCGGCGTCGCCGCGATGATGGAAAGGTCGCAGGTGGGTTGGACGGCGCATACGACCCTCCTCACAGGAGCTTTCTCCTCCAGAGGAACTAGACGTATACTGCTGCAAAAAGACAGTGATGTATTCAAATGTTTCACTTTTTTTCCTCTTTAATTAATAACCGACATACAGTTTCTTGTTAGAAAATTATTTTTAAAAGTAATAATTTCAAAATTCAAAAGTATAACTAGTCTCATCTTTTAAATTGTCACATGACTCTCTTACAGGGAAACTAACGCAGTATGGTCAAAGTTGCTATGTAGAGTAAATTTAATTAATTGAAGTTCTAATATTTTTCAAGTTTATTGGCTCAATAATAAATTGAGCATGAAAGAACATATTGAAATAAGCCAAATATTCTGATTTTTGTAGAAAAGGAATCTATAGATCCTAAACAGAAGGGTAAGACTTATAGTTCCCAAATTCTGGTTGTTTTCTTAGAACAAGACGTTTCTGAGTAAAAGTAATATTATTTACTGTGAATGAGAAATAATCAATATTGTACCAAACATTTGTTTTTGTTTTAATTCGTTTTTTTTCCATGAAAGTGCCACCTTTAAAAGGACATTATGACAATGCTGCATATATCAAGAACAATTTAAAAAGAAGTTTGACTTCACATCAAACTTCAACATCAGGCGGCTTGAAATTGGCGATAAAAATAAAGTTAGCAACAGTTAACACATCTGTCGGTACAATAAACAGCCGACAATCCGTCAAGTTAAACAGCTAATATTGGCTGCTGTTAACTTGTAAGGCTCCATCAGACCTGTTTCTCTCTCGCAGTGTAATCAGAACACATTTTATAGTTATTATCGAGCTACAAACAGTTCTAACAATATCCAGTATTATTTTAACAGCAATAATATTTTTAAATCTGATCAATTAGCTTTTTTAAAGTTATTTTTAAATGTCTAAATTGAGAGGAACTAAAGGCGACTTCCTTCTTTCTTGGTGAATAAATCTGACTCATTTAGCTTATATTTTTTAAAACAGAATACTGATGTTATCACTGCTGGTAAAATATTGTTCAATACAATAATAATAATATATAAATTGAGCTTAGTAAGATACACTTAAGCAGTTAAATAAATTAGCTCATGCTGTATTTTTAATTTGTGTTTAGAAAATACATAAATAATGCAATAAATTAGTCAATATATAATGCCTCATCATAAATATTAAAGACCAGAATTTAAATGTTATTTAAGATTCTGTTATAATATTTCACATATGTAATGTTATTTTTAATGTTTTTCTTTTTAACCTTTTCTAGCTTTTTTAATATTTCTGAAAAACATCTGATCATAGAATGTCATAAACCACATCAGTTGTAACTCTGAATATACTTTATGTTTCTGAAATAACTATATTAGTGACCCTGCAGGGATTTCTAAGGGTAAAACATGCAGCCAGTATTACAATAACAGTTCAGGAGAGTGCGCCGTTAGTTACAAGTTCTTCATTTTCCTGGTTGTGTCGCAGCCAGACATTAACACACCGTGTTGATACTTGCGGTTTAATTATAGTCAGAAGAAAAACATCAAACTCACCACAGTCACTTTAGTTTTCTTCTTTTTCATGCGGAGGACGCGTGAAGCAATCTGGATGGTGGAGAGGGTTTCGGAGAAATCTCTCGGCGAGGCGGAGATGTGAGCAATCATGGTGGTCCTGCAGTTCATGTTGCCTAGCGACTCCCTTAGCAACATGGTCAGCTTGCTGTCCCTGGTTACACGTATAGATGAGACGGGTTGGAGATGCATACATGTGTACGACGTGACTGAGTGCGTTTTCAAACAGAAATCCTTGTTTATCTGACAGATGGAAGTAATTACAGCTCCTTGAAAAAGTATTCACTCCTCTTACACTTTTCAGAATCTCAGGTTTCCGATCCGTTTGTGTGTCAATGTGTAAAGGCTGTAGTGCAGTTTGAGCTGTTGACTAGGAAAGAGGCATTCATGCACCAAACATTCATCAAGCAAAATAAATTTAGACCTGAAAAGTGATTCAATATTTTGTAAAATGACCTTAAAACACAGTTACAGCTTCAGTTACAGCTTTGACTAATGAACCTGCTATTGTTAATAGAGATGCACAATATTGGCTTTTTGGTCGATATCCGCCATGCCGATATTCTAAAACTCTTTTGGCCAATAACCGATACCAATAACAATATTTTTCTTTCCTTTACCTACTTATTAAAATTATATGGCTTTCAGGAATTAAAATACTGCATTGTCTTTGTCAATTTAACTTGCTAGCAAATGCTAAAATGGAGGCAACACTTTCAACTTGCATTCTGTTTAATGACAATTGTCTCTCTAAGACAAAGACACTCAAACTGCAGATTTGACGTTGTGCTGTGTTGTCACTGGTTTGTCATATAAAAATAATGCTTTTTATATCTGGGAGTTATTTTGACGGAATGACAGATGTCCGATATTAAAGCTTGTATCAGTTGATACCGATATCATGCCGATAATTGTGCATCCCTAATTATTATTGTAGTTGATTATGTTTGGGGCCATTTGTGTTGCTGAAAAATGAATCTGCATCATAGTGTCAAGTCATCTGCAGGATTTCCCATCTACTTCCTGCTCCTGCTTAAGAAAATCATCCCACACCATGATGCTGCCATAATGCGCAGTGTTAAAATTCGTCCATACTATTAATTATACTTATTGACAAACATTTGTCCTGTCTTCACATTCAGCAATTTGTGTTTGTAACGAAAGCAATGTAAACATTTCAAGGAGTGAATACTTTTGCAAGGCAAATATTTGTTTAAAATATATTTTTAAAAAACTGTTAATTTGTTGCAAAAATAAAAGAAAGGCTGTCAGGAAACTCTTTAGATATTATACAGTCTAATATTAGAGTCTTCTGAGAGGTTTACTTTAACAGATGGTGGGAAGTAAAAGAAGGCTGTGTGTTTAAGAGAAGACTTTCTCCTGGGTGGCCCGCTGTAATCATTTATATCTCAGATCTGTGTGCAGCAGCAGGATGACAGAGAACAGCTCCTCTGTGTCCTGTTAACTCATGCTGTTGTCCTTTTTTTTTTGTATAAAAAACAGCCTGCAGGCATGTATATTTACACACACACACACACAAATTATGCACACACTCCTACCCTGACCTCCTCTTCTTCATCACTGCTCTCTTCTTCTCCTCTTCTGCCTTGGGCTTCAACAAACCCTTTTCTCTCTCCTTAAGTCTCCCTCTATCTCTGCATCGCTCCCTGAGATTAATGTAGGTAAACTCATGACTCATGAAGTATTCATTTGGATATTAATTCAAGAGCTGAACTTGTTGGATTAGATTGCAGCGCTCAGTTTTTACTAAATCTATAACTGGATCTTCCCTAGGAAAGAAAACTTTCGACGTGGGAAATTATGATCTTCGTGGGTCAACTATCAACGATCAATCTGACATTTTAAATCCCAGAGCATCACATTTTGCATAAGGTTAAAATCAAGATCAATCCATCTGTTGTCTGTATGCTTATCCGTACAGCTGCATCTCTCTAAATTGCCCTTAGCACCAAGGGCAATTAACCTTAGAAGTGCGTTTTTGGGCAGTAAGAAGAAGCCAAAGTATGAGGAAAGAACCCACGCATTAGCAGTTTGTTTAGTATCCTAAGATGGAAGTGCTTTACATTGATCTGACTCTTGTGTTACTAAGGTAAATGTTTATTTTGATACTTGAAGATAATGTCCTGTTCACACTAAACGCTTCTGAAAAAGATGCAGAGCTTTCAGACCTCAGATAATGCAAACCAAACAAGTTCATGTTCATTTAGAAACAAACACACTGATGTTTAAACATCAGTGTGTTGAAACTGATCAGTTTTAACTCAGAGTTAAAACATCAGTGAGTGCAAGAGTTCAGAAACCAATATTTGGTGAAATAACCAAGAGGTTTTCAATGGGGTTCAGTGCAGTGGGCTCTTAAGTTTTCCCAGAGTTTTATTTAGATTTTTTTCCCATATTGTAAGTTTAAAAATGTATTAGTGGATTAAGTACTTTTTTTATTTTAAATAAAATCAGTATTTGTGAATCATTGGCTTCAAACAAGCTCTAATATCTTACTGAAAAGTTAATTTTTAAGTTAAAACACTTGAAATGAGACAAAACTAAAATATTTGCACCATAAACTTCACAAGAACAATACTTTGTAAGATTTTGTTTTTGCTTGAATCAATATCAAAACACATCAAATAAAGTTATTCCGTTTTCCACTCAAAATTTTAACAGTACATTTTTATTTTTCAAGCTTGTAATTCATATATAGTCGGTGATTACTTGTAAAATGTGGTAAATAATTTTTGACTTCTTGTTCTCTTTCCACCATCTTTAGCTAGCTCTGCCATCAGCAAGTTATTTTCAGCCAGAAAGCTGTTCCTCTGTGCATGTGTTATTCTTTTTCGGCCTCTCCATGAAAACCCTTAGAGAGAGCAGAGTGTGAAAATCAATACTCTGAGCAGCCGGTCTGGAACCTATGGCTTTGCCAAAAAAATATCTCAAATCATGTTTTTTGCCAGTATGACGCTCGTTTTGAACTTCTGTAAATCCCCTCGGCCATTTCTTCATGCCCAAGCGCCTCGAGTTTCTGCCATGTGCTTGCATGATCGCACAGAGCTACGAGCAGCAATGAGCAGCCGTGCAAATCACAACAAATACAGGAGCATGTGGAGGTGGACTGCCTGATCATACACTGTAAAACGTTTGAGTGGCTTTAGCGGTCACTGGCGATTGTTAATTAAATGTTTAAACTTTTACTTAAGAAATGTTCTTAAGTTTTTTTTATAAAAGGAAGAAAGAAAAGAAAAATGTTTTTAGCGTGTGTTGTTGAATGACTTATTCTGTGACATTTCTTGTCTTTTGAGTAAATATATTATAACTCAGTAAAGCTAATACACTGTAAAACATTTGATTTAAATTGAAAATGAAAGTCCACCTGCTGCCTGAAAAATGCAACTTAGATCAACAAGAAATCTGTTTTGGTTTTAACTCAGAAATTAAAGCTCATGAAGTTGATTTAACAACAAGAAACAAGTTGTCTGAACATTGTTTTTTAAATTCAATAATCTTGAATTGTGAGCTTTGACTTCATTCTGCAATTTAAACCAAATAATTATTTCACAACATGCCCTCACCTGGTTAAAGAGCCATATTTTGTTATTATTTTACGCACAATATTAAGTTAAAATAACTACTTATTTAACTTTAGAATAATTAAAGTTTTTGTTTCAAACTGCATGATAATTTATGAAACATAATGAATTCAGCTCAGAAACATTTAGTATGATCAGGACTTTATCCTCAAACTTTAAAATAAACATTTGTCGTAATAAAACACGAGTCAGAAATGTAACACACTTCCATCTCAGGATACAAAAACAGTCGCTAAGCATTCTGGGAAATGGCTCTCACAGCTGTCTTTCTCTTCTTTCAGTTTTTTTTAGTGTTAACCTAAAAACCCTAGTTTATTCAACTCTCGGAGGTTTGACCAAATGAGTAAAAAGTTAACACAATTTACTACTATAAGTTTATCTTTCAGAAACTCACATTTTGGTACAAAACCTAAAACTCTAAATTTATTTGACTTAAAGAGCAGAAGACAGTAAAAGCTGCTCAAATGTTTTACACTGTCAGACTGTCGCATATCGATTATTAGAATATACTATCGATTAATACAGAAAATCCACTGAGGTAAAGATCAACCATCAGTTCATTATAGACGTCCAAATGAATATCAATAAGGATCTTTGATACTTTATATAACTTAAAAAATCATAACTTCTGTAATTGCTTATAAACTTTGATTTTTTTAGCATGACAGTTTGATTAAATTATCATGTTTAATCAAACTGCCATTAACAAGAAAATAATGTAACTACGAAGAGCTACATGAGTGAACAGCCTTTTGAAAAGGAGACATTGTTCAAATGAAGATGCATGCCCTTTAAAATAATCTGTTTCCGACTCCAGCAGAAGTCTGAGTCACCAGGCGAAGCTCTGTGTTCGTCTCCAGTGCTTATATAAGCATTAGGTTGTTTTGCAGTGTAAATTCAAAAGACAGATATTATGTTAACTCAGCAAAAAACAACTTTAAAAGATGAAAGAAACGAGAGAAGTAAAAAGTTCACCTGAATATTTATGGCTTCACAATCTGCTGCTTCAGTCAATTCAAATCAACACATCAATATTTTTTCAGTTATTTTTCTACATATCTTACCTTTCATTTCTTTTATTTGCAGTATGACATTTCTTTTGTTTTTCTTTACATCATTCCTTCTTTCTGGATACCAGAAGGAATGTCAGTTTTTTCCTAAGTTTCAACAATCTCATATTCAAGTTAATTCTGTTTTAACATCCTTTTAACATGATTTTTATTATCTTCCTTATTCTTTTTCTCTCTTTTTACAACTTCTTAGCTCAGGATACAATTTATCTCCCTTTTCTCGTCTTTGCCAGTCTGCAAACCAGAATTTTAATTAATATGGAGGAGCATCTGTTGTTGTTTAAAATGTTAAGTTCCAATAAAACCTGAAGCATCTATAGAAACATGTTCTCTGCTCTCCTCTTCCCATCCTCCTACTCGGTCTCTGCCTCACTCCTCACCGCATTTATCTCACACATTTGGTAATTTGGCCTCTTCTTCTCTCCTCTTCGGGATCCAATCAGTTCATTTTCACACACTTCCTCTTTGCACTCCCCACCCACTCACACACACACACACGCACGCACACACACACCAACCTACTTGTAGGGAATGTGTTTGCTGCCGTTGACCAGGGCCAGAATCACGTTCCCGAGGGCGGACAGAGAAAGGCACAGAGGAGCCGAGCTTGGTGAAGAGTTTTCTCTGCTTTTCCCGCCGCCGCTGCCTCCTCCCAGTGCTTTAGCATCACAGCTCCCCAGGTCCAGCAGGTGGAGTCGACTACGACCTCCTGACACTGAAATGTGTGAAAAACGGGTCAGTAAAAGCAGAGGAAGAAAAAGATGGGAAATGAACTGAATTCAAGGTATTTGTTGGTTTATTAGCAAGTAAAATGTAAGACTTTTTTAGACCATTTATGGCCACCTTCAGTAAAATTTAAGACTGAAAAACCTATAAATATAGAGGATGTTTGAAGGTACTTAATGTATTGCGATCAAGAAGAGTAAGAATTGTGACACTGGATTTTTTCCCCCTTTGCTAGCTAGGTTAAAAAACTAGCTAGCTAACAAGGGTATATATTAGAGTCAACCGTCTCAAACATTTGCCTGACAGAAAAGTCCTGCAAGAAAAAAAAATTAAATTGAAAAATAGGATCAATTTGATAATTACTACAAATTGGAATGCATGTGTGATTAAATTTTTTGTGAAAATTGTTTTTTAATAATTATGGCAGTGGATCCTTTCATTTGTCTCAATGTGTGTGAATTAAAAATAGAACCTTAAATGAGTTTATATGTTTGTGACAGGGTTATTTTTAATTTAGAAACATAATAACAAACATTTCAGCCTGTAGATAAATCTTTGGTTTTTTCATTTTAGTGATATAGTCTTATGCCATTTATTCATTATTATCTATTATTATTTTTCAACACAATCCTTTGGTAAAATAGCATCGGATATTTAGCTAACACATAAACGGCTGTTTATATGCAGTACCTTGCGCATCACTAGGGGGCGCATGCGGACCACAGTTTGAGAAAGACTGCTTTAAATGGATTCTAATCTAAATTAGAGGGCCAGTTCAGTAAACCTACAAAAGATGTAGTATGTAAAATTAGCTTGACATTTAAATTGGTGAAGGCAAATATCACAATGCAGACTGAACACTTGTCTTGTGTAGATTAGATAAAATTGTAAATCACCTGTTTAAAATGCAGGACTGAGAGTAAAAGCTTGACTTTGTCAAGGATTCTCAGTTGACAAAAATAAAAGCTTCTGACAACTGTTTTTCTTGCCAACGAGAAACTGTCACGTTAAACATTATGGCAAGTTTGTGCAGAAAGACTTTTGGAGTAGGGGAGGTTATGTACTCCCTAAAGTCTTGCATCTGTTTTACATTTCATTCATTATTTAAAGCCGTCCATGCAGTCCAGTAAAGCATTCAGTGGGGCTTTATCTTTCCTGCTTACAATCAAGTAGATTCAAGATTAGTGAAATGATATCTGATTTTTGCTTAGGATGAAACTGAAGTGGAGCTTTCAAAAAGAAAACAAAGAATGAATCCCTGCCCAATCCAACAGGACCATTTAGAGAGTTTGACGGTGAAGCTGTAGCTCTTAAGGTAAGATTCAAATAATTCCAACAAACGTTTTATTGAAGCACAATGACAAATGGATGAAGATTAAACCAAAAGGAACATTTTCTTCAATGTGCTTTGCTTCCAAGTTTCAAAATAGGGAACACTGGATAAATGTCAATTTTAACAAATGAAGTCCAGGGTCAGATGGAAGCAAAATGAGAACAATGCATGCTCTCACATTAGTTACTCATCCCTAATCTCTGCGTTTTCTCCTATCATGCATGTTGACAATTATGCTAACACACACGTTTGTTTTTGACCACAATTGGACTTTTAATTGATTTCCTTAAGTTTATTTACTAATTTTCAAAAGAAATTTTAAAGGAGCCTGTGAAAGTGTCTGTATCAGACCTGAATCAGAGGCATCAGTGGAGTTTGTTTCAGAGTCAAAGCATGAACAGGTTAAGACAACAGATAGTTTGTGCCTGTGTTTGTTGTATGTGATGAAACTCTCCAGGCTTAGCTAAAATGCTGTCAGTAGCAAGTTGACTATTATTGACTTACTCCATCTTGTATTTCAACAACAGTATATGAGTTAAAAATAACTGAAATGCTAAGGTTAGCCAAAATTATCTCAACATCATTTAGGTTAGGTTTGGTCCCCAAACGGCAGCATGTGGATCTTAGAAGAGTTATTATTCATGGAAATAGCTTTGAATAGGAAACATTAGTATGTACATTAATGTGCACACATTTTGTGCATGAGAAGTGTCTCTAAGCACTGAATAATTATTAATAGATCACACAGTGACATACTGGTGACAGATTATAGCACACACAGATCTGATTATCATATTTCAGACAAACTTTCTTTTTCTCAATAAAATAAAACATTAAATCTGCAGCAGAAAAACACAACTCAGTGGTAATAATGATTTTCTAGCATACAGTACTCACTCCCTCCTTTGCCTGTCTTTTCCATGCGGTACTGGTAGATATGCAACGTGAAGAGCATGTGGGAGTTCCTGTGTTCTTCCTCTGTGGTGTTGGGTCGCTGGCTGCTGTGGCGAGCTGCGATGGCTGCATCCAGAAACCAGGCCGCCTTCTCTGGGGTCGGAGCACGGAGCTCCGATTGGTTTTGGAGCTGGAAAACATCCAGATTTGAAAAATAAAGCATCAATGGTGCAGATATGACATAATGGGAGAGGTAAGAGGAAACCAAATTAAGCCAGAGGGGTTTGAGTCACCAGCCAAAAAGTATGTATACGATGATTATGTTTGCAATGAGGATTTGGCATGTAGGGCTCTGCTAGTAATGGTTCACCTGCAGGTATATGACAAACAAAAAAGCTGCAAGGAGTGGAAAATGTGTGTGTGCTGCAGGATGTAATTACTGATGAGATTAGGGCCAGATTAGTTAGGGATTATACAGATGTGTTTGCACCAGACCCTCTAATCCTATAAATATGCAGACATTCTGCTGCTCATTTGTTGCTGTCACTTTGTGACAATCTGACGACTGCTGCGTGTTTTATCATTATACTATTTTATTTATGCTTTTTCGCTCTTTGAAAAGGTGCAATACCTTTCAGGTAAGGTAAAACAATATTTAGATTTCAAGGTTTTCCCCAGTAAATTTGCTAAGCCCAGTGGTTGGGGTGCTCAGCAGTCATTCGTCGTGTTTTTGAGTTAAAAAATGTGCCAAGACGTTTGAAAATATCACTTGGTAATTATGTGTTATTGGAAGATTTATACCTGAATACTAAGTCTTGAAACTTGCAAACATTAAAAAATAAATAAAAAATTTAAATAAGCAATGCTAAGCCTGGTGGGGGGCACAAGTAAAGCCTGGTGACCTGCCAGGCTCATAATACCTTCAGAGAAATCCTGCATTGGAATAATTAAAGTTTTACATCAAGTGCTTTTTCCTTCTGTACTTTTGATTCTCATTATTTTCAAACGTCACAAAGATGTGTTTCTGTCCTGACTCCAAAAGACAAAATCGACTTTTAAAAGTGAAAAATAAAGTCTGGTGCAAATTGGAAACAATAAAATAATCTAGCGGCTATCAGAAATACCTGCATGCCACAGATTGGATCTTCACAGAGATAAACTCCAGGCGACTGGCCGTCCTGCAGACTTCCTGTAGCCACTTCAGACAGCAAATCCTTCAGGTTTTCCTCCTTTCCCCAAACCTGAACACAAATCAATCAGCTGATCAGAGCTGATAACATTTTATTTGATCTCAAAGCAAATCGATCTCAACAAAACATTATAAAAAAGAAAGTAAATTTGTCGACCAAAGAAATGGCAAAAATTTTAATATTAGCAGAATTTATAATGAAACTCAGAAATTGGGATTAAAGAATTTCTAAAATTGTTTTTTTTTTTTTTACATAAAATTCTAAGAATAATGAGTATATGATTAAGAAAGCATTCTGGTCCATTTCCAGTTAAATTAAAAGATTTCAATCACCAACTAACCAAGCACAGACTAAAACATTTGAGCCACGTTTAGTTGTGTCTAATATATTCTACTCTTTAAATCAATTAAATTTAGCGAGTTTTAGGTTTTGAACCTGAATGTTTGAGTTTGTGAAAGATAAACTTACAGCAGTAAGTTATGTTAAGAGTTGAACAAACAAGAGGTTTTAGGTTAGCACTTAAAACATCTGAGAGAAGGAAAAAGACAGAGGTGGGAACTATTTCCCAGAATGCTTAGCGGCTTGTTTTTGTATCCTGAGAAGGAAATGTTCATTTTAGGTTTGCAGAGCTTGAGGACAATGTCTTGTTCACACTAAATGTTTCTGAGCCAAATTCATTGTTACGTTTAATAAAACTTTGATCGTTCGATTTGAAACAAGAATTTAAATTATCCCAAATAAGTTATTTTAACTGGATATTATGAGTAAAATAGCAGAGAAATATGGCTCTTTAACCAGGTGAGGACATTTTTTATTTACATATTGTAAAATAATATAATATATATTTACTCAAAAGATAAATGTGACAGAATAAGTCATTCAACAGCACAGGCTAAAATTCTTTTTCTTCCTTTCTTTTAAAAAAAGAAAACAACAACCTGGGAGCATTTCTTAAGTAAAAGCTTAAAAAATGCTAAATTAACTATGTCAGTGACTGATAGAGCTGCTTCTTTTTCCATTTGATAGAAACATTGCTGATGCTTTGCTTTTAATGAAAACTGAGGCGTTTTTCTCAGTCACCTCCACAGCAGAGACTCGAACAGAGAAGCGCGCTCCTGTTTTCTCCTTCCTCTCATTGATGAGTTTAAACAGCCAGGAGATGGCACAGGGGATTATTCCCAGGGTCTGAAGAGAGTCATCACGACCAATCATTGTGTACGATTTTCCTGGATGACACACAGAAAGACAAAAAACAGAGCAAGGGGTGAGAAAAAAAAAGATCATAAAACCTCTATTCTTTGGAGAAAGATGAGTAAGAAAAAGGTGTGAGAGTGAAATGATCGTCTGTGAGTGGATCTGCGTCTCCTCCAGTGACAGGACGATGATTATCCTCCTCCTACACCTGCTGCGGCTGTCAGAATCAGGAGATCAAACACCCGCCTAAACAAAGCCATATGTCACAGCTAACATGTGGAAAACAGAGGACATGAAAGCCTGACTCCTGTGATGCAGCGTAGAGAAATGTTTCCCATTTGTTCTGAATGAGGATGGAGGGGAGGCTGTCAGCGACGTGATTTTACATTGTTCTCTCTCAGCGTTTCCTCAAGCATCTGCTCTAAAAACACTGAGCTGCAAACGCCTTGTAAAAGAGACACGTTATATTCATTTATTTGGAGAAGAAATGATTCATTTTAAGCTTCACATTGTGGCACTTTGTGTTCAGAAAACCAAAAAGCTGCTCCATGAGTGTAAAAGTTGACCTATAAGGTTTCCTTGAATGGGTTATCACAGGTAGCTCTATGGCATGTGTCAAACTCAAGCATCCATTGTACAGAGCAAACAGCTGGCCAGACGTGCTGGAGTTTCGTTTGGGCTGCTAGGCAACTCCAGACTCAGTTGGGGTTGCTAAGTAATGGCGCAGTTACAATAAAGAGGATTTTGAAATGTCTTGTTTTCCAGACGCTTAAAAACATTAACTTATTGCCAGAAACAGACGAGTGTTTACTATTTCAAAAAAAAAAAAAAAAAAGTTTTTAGAAGCAGTTGAGACTTGAAAGGATGTACAAAAAATATGCAAAAAGTGAATTTTGTATAATGGATCCTCTTTAAAGTTCAATAACTTCAACACCAGACCATTAACTTTGACTAATCTAATTTTCCAGTTGATTTGATTTCCTCCAACACAGCTTGTCTATTTAACAGCCGTTACCTCTCTGTGTGTCTCTCTTCCTTTCAGGCCTGATTTTATGAGAGAGTATGAGTGTTAGTATATCACAGCCATTTCCTTTGTTCTCGCTGATGCAGGCTGTCAAGTCCTGGTTCTGTGGCTGACTGCTTCAGCCAGATGCACAGGAACGTTGTGCTGCAGGCTATAAAACAGTAAGTGAACTGATGCCTCGTAATTTGTTGCATCGAACCAAAATATAGATGCTGTCAATGTCTGAACAAACTTTGTATCTCTCTAACTTTTCTTTCTTCTGATTTTGTTGTTTTTGTGTTCCTTCTAAATCATGTAAAGCACTTTGAACTGCCCTGTTCCTGAAAATGTGCTACATAAATAATATTACTCATCTACCTGTTCAGATAAATATTTTCTTAAGCGTTTTATACGATATCTATTACATAAAAAGCCAATGAATATTTCTTATATTTGTGACTACAATGTGACAAAGTGTGGAAAAGCTTAATCACTCTTAGGCTTTTTGGTAACAATTCTGACTAAATCTGTGATATTTGGCTTATATCAATATTATACGAATGTAGCAGTTTTTCATATTTGGCTTTTTTTCAATGCAAACCTGCTTGTTGTGCAGAGAGTCTGAGTCTGACCCCTCATAAATCCACAGCCCAGGGCTTCCAGGCTGAAGATAAACACTCTTTGTGCTACTTTCCCCGTTTTAATGAGCAAAAAGGTAATGTCATTATAACGCGGCGGCCCCATTAAGATTCATGGCCCGGGGTGAGCTGCTGCTGCAGCAGCAGCGGCTTTTTAAGCTGAAACCATTCCTGGTCACGAACGCAGAAATCCATTCAGAAATCCATCAACAAAAAGTTTGTTTCTCCAAGCTTATAAAAGCGCCTGCAGTGTCATTTACACGGCCATGCTCAAGCAATTAGAGGGAACATTAGTTCCAGATGTAGTCGTTCATTACAGAGAGAGAAGTTTCTACCATTAATTCTGTCTTTATTTTTCTGTTTCAAAGTTTGATGGAGGTTGTGCTGTCTAGACGAGCACCGTGGTGACTTATTTTGTTTTAGGAGGCTCTAATTATTGTGTGCACATCTGTCTCACCCACTCATTAATTTTATATGCTCACCCACATTTAGCTTGAGATTGTTTGAGTTTGTCTCTGCATGTGTGTGTGAGCAGCTCAGCGCAGATAGATACACTTCCAGTTCACCCAACTTGCATATCTGTGGACAAAGAACTCCGCGAAGAAAGATTTAAATTTTATTTTTAAATGTCACTTTAATTCAAAGACTTGTCTTCCCGAGGACAAGTCTTTGATTAGCACTAATTAGCACTAACAACATAAAGTTAAACATTAAGCTAAAGCTGTTTTTCCAGTTGCATTGAGTTTAATTAATGTTGGGAATATAGATGAAGTAGTTACACGGTTTGTACATATTTAATTTCTGATGAGAAATTCTATGTTTAATTGCTAAAGTAGATATTTAAAATTGGTTTACTCAACCAAACTAGTTTCTTTTCCCATTGCATTTTTGATTGTTGGTGTAGGGCGTTACGATGCACACTCTTCAAAAAATCCACTTTTATCTCATCAGTTTACAGAATATCTCCACAAATCTCTTGGGGATTATAAACAAGGCAAATATTAGACAGTAAATTGTGTGTTTATTTTAGTCAGCAGTAATTTTTTTTCATTGCTCGGTTTTTTTCTTCATTTTTGATTGAATACACCTGGATGTATTCAGATCACAGAACATGACCAATGATGCAGGCTGAGGGATAAACAAAACTGGGGCTGACCTCAAGTTAAATAATGTGTCTGTGATGCTTGGCCTTTGTTAAGGCTGCACATGTTTGGGTTCAGATTGCGTTGCAGTGTGCAGTGAAGGGTCCTGACCCTTTCTAAGACAGCTTCTCTAAAAATCAGCTTCAGGAGGATTAGGGAGCAAAAGAGGAAGACAGAAAAACAGCCTGAGCAGACTGGGGAAGCTTTCAGCCAGAGCAGACACTAATCCTCTTCTGTCTCTGATAGACGAGGGAGAGTCGCCAAGTGCAGGACTGACACACTGACAGTCAGGCACACATACGAGGGATGGCTCATAAACCACATGTGCTCTGTTTGTGTAGCTGAAGAAGTTGTGTTCAAGAGGCTGTTACCCAGTTTGGAGTGTCCGAAGCAGAAGATGCAGCCGTCCGCTCCGTTCACCACCGACTGGATGACCTCAGCCACCGTTCCTGCACACACCTCCGCCTGGCAACAGGCGACCACGGAAAGACGATGAGGAAAAACACAAAGCAAAGATTATATACCGAGGTGATCACGTTCAAATTAAGAGTCTATTCACACTCATTTTGTGATCAAAGAACTCGTTTTTGCAACTTGGGAAGCCATATGTGTTTCTGTGGAAAATATTCACTACTTGAAAATGTTCACCTTTGAGGTGAGAATGATAGGTTTTCAGGTTTGTTTGTTTTTTTGTTAAATTACAAACACATATTTGTAAATATGTAATGGTCAACAGTGTCGAAGCTTCTATGCATCACAAATCTGGAACAAACAAAGCTGAAATAGAGTTCCTTTAAACATAAAATAGATTTAAAACCTTATCAATGAAACAAACAATGTTCTGATAATTTGACTGTGTTCTACAACTTTGTACTTTTGTGTTTTTATGATGTAAAACTCTTTGAACTGCCTTGTTGCTGAAATGTGCTATACAAATAAACTTGATTTATTGACTGATTTGTTGTGCGCTGTAATCCAAAGCTTGTCTCTAGTTTGTAGTTTTACTCATAACTAAGAAGAGCTGAAAATGTAAGGAGGAAGTTTATGTAAATTAAATGTTGTTTTCCAAATCAAGACAAGTTTGGCTTCCAGTGGTGATTTAAAGAATGATCACATTGCAAACAATTTGACATTTTTAAGAAAAAAGCTGACATTTAGTGTGCTGTGGTAGATTTTCGCATCAATATTCTCACCTGTGATGCATCAGGAGGAAATGCGGCGTCGAAGGTGAACATCTTTGGAGGAGCGTGATTGACTCCTGCTCTTTTCTGGGAGGCAGCATTCGGTGTCTGGTTGGCAGACGGGTCCATGATGGTGATCTGTTTCTTTCTGGGATCCACTTTCAAGAAGGAACTGGACTCTGTAGCATCAGACTGAGACGTTGGGGAAACTCTGACCATCACCTTCACCTGAAAGGTAAATTCAAGAGCATTACCATAACATAAATGATTATATTTTCATTTTTTTATTGTTGCCCACTAAACAAAAAGAAAACTACAACTTTATTAGTATGTATCAAGACTTACAATGTTATATAAAGTCCTATTAACTTTTTATTTTTATTATTAACCTTTAGAAATATTGCTTGAGCTACAACTGAATCTGATCAGTCTGTAAAAAATTACCTGGAATTAGCAAGAAAGTTAATCTCGAAGGAAAGCTAATATCAAGAAAATATGAAGTTGTTTTTTTAACTTTAGGTAGTAATATCAACTGCTGCTCGTTTAAAATCCTGTTCATGAAGAGCAGTCAGCCAAACTGGGTGTTTTTGGGCTTTATAAGCGAGTCATTTTTCCAGTTTGTTAGCTTAAATGTTAGCTCCTAAGGCTAACGTTAAATAGCTAAACTGGGAAGAATTGGCCGTTTTCGTAAATCTAAATCAAGTTTTTTTTTTATTGGTGCCCAATAGTTAAAATTAGAACTGGACTGTTTTTGTCCAGTTTTTTTTAAGTTAACGAGACATTTCTCACGTTAGGTTCTTCATATTTCTATTTACTTTAATCTATGCTCAACCGAATCCCGATGGAAGTAAAACACCAGGCCGCCATTTTAAGGTGCGTTTCATTTTCCACGAACCAAAACAGTTAACTGGGTCCATTATTCTTCCCTGGTCTTTTTCCCTGAAAAAACCTGGCCCAAAACAAAACAAGGTTCGACATGTGCCCCTGAAAACAGCTTCAGTTTGACTTTTTAAAACTACAGGCAGAGTTTGTAAGTAGGATGGCTCAAAGCGATTCTTGGATCAAATATTCACTAGCTTTTAGTAATCTCCCAGTTTATGTTCCTCTGCAGTTCATATGTTATGTTTATTTCAATTACACAGGAGGTCGGCATTTTACTGAACTAACATTACTTTAACTAGATGTCAAACCTAGATTTATTGGATGTTTTTAAAATTTCAAACAGTGTTTCAAAAACAAGAAAAACATGTGCATACATAACCAAGAACAAAATAGTTTCCCACTTCTTTTCTGTCTGAAAAGGGTAGGAAGTAGTGAATGCTTATTTAATCCTACCCCTTATTTTAATTTAATTAAATGTGTTGCTTACTGACTCAATAATTATCACTAATTTGTAATTAAAACCATGTTATAATATCCATGTGCCTGTTCAGTATACTGTGCCAAAGAGCCAACAAATACATTATATTACCTGCACAAAATGGTTACAAACGAACTCATAAAGGGACAAGAAAATCGACGGATAATGATAATAATCTGTTATTTTAAACAACAGCGTCAGAATAATTATCAACTCCTTGCCTATAAAGTCTTCTTAATCTGTGTTATATAACAACAGATAAAATGTAATAAATAAAAAAGAGTGGGAAAAACACTGATGGTAAGCTAATAATAAAATGCCAAAAGTCTGAGATTGAAGAAAATCAGGCATATTACATAAAAATAAACATCCAGCAGTAAATAAAAGTTTGTTTTGGTTTTAAAGACGCCTTTTAAAACAACTTTGTATTTTCAGTTTACAAGAGATTATTTTTAACATTTAAGCATTGAAACATTCTTATCATGTCTGAAGGATTTTTGTAGGGGAAAAAAAATCTATTCTCACCTTGGCTTTGAGAAAAGAATCACAAAGAAACACAAAATTCAGCTTTTAGCGCTACATGGGTATCGACACGCTTGTGTTCCTGCTTTCATCCCCTTATTCACCCTGAGCGCCTCCACTTCCCTGATCTTTTCTCCTCCTTTACCTGTCACTCTAGTTATCTCCCTTTCCTTCGCTCCTTAATCCCTTCCTATTTTTTTCTATTCGTCTTTGTTCACTTCCGCACATCAAAAGGCCTGATTTGCAGGAATCCAGTTTTAGCTTCCTGTCATCCTCTTTCTCTCCTCCTTTCCTTCATCTTCAGTCTCAAACTGTTAGCAGTCTCATTTTAGCTGGTTGTTTTCTTTGATATCAGCAGGAGCAAAATGCTGCGTCAGCTAAACGGAGGGATTTGCGAAACATCCCAAGATGTAAACAAGTTTTCATCTTGGTTCACGATTGGCGTAAAGTTTGAAAAGTATCTGAGTTTAACCTTGATATTTTCCTTCACCTTTTTTTTAAATTCAAGTTTAATCCTTGTTTTTTTCTGCTTCTTTTATTTTGGCAGTATTATAATCTCTTAGTATGACTGAGATTAGTTAATCTGAAGAGTAATTTCATATAAAACCAGCAGCACAACTAAACTGTACAATCTGTACATGGGAGCATGATCTTTCAGGGTCTGAATATAATCTGTATTGTTGTTGTCTTGTAATTAAGTGTCTTTGTCTTTTAGTACAAAATATATCAAAGTAATTTTCTGACTTAGTAACCGAGTGCTCAACTCTGCTGTGATTTGAAATTGAGGTCATTTTAATTTAATTGATATATCGCGTCAGATATCAGCGTATCTAAAAAGAAATAAGGTAGTCAAACATGAAGCACTTTCTTGCTGTCTTCCTTTTGTACAACACATCTTTGGTTAAGACAATTTATGTTGTTATGTTCTAAGATAATCTTTGAACCCTTTTCAAAAATGGGGAATATGTTTCGCTTTATTCTTTAAAGCGGAACATATTCTGGGTTGCTTTCTCAAGAAAGGTCAAGTTGTGCGACATCCAAACTTCCTCCTCACCACTGCACGGAAACACACACACAGGGAAGCATAGCGAGGCCATCTGCTGACCCCAGTAAAGGAGCCCATCGGCCTGAGAGGAAGATTTTACCACCGCACACTGAATAAGGTGTAACCCATGAGGCGCTCCGCATTGGAAACCCATTTGGTCTTTATATTTGAGAAGGTGAAAGGCTGGAGAGTGAAGCAGAAATGAGGCCAAAATGGCTTTCAGAGTCAATTTCTCAAAATTACTGTTTATGTTTTTTTTTAACTCAGTAATCTGGGACCAGAAAATACTACCTCCTTCTTTTAGAAGACATTAAACCTCTGGAAGTTTGGTGGACTTTACACAACACTGCATTGTAACTGATCATATAATGTTAAGTCGACAATAAAAAATAATCAGGGATTCCACAGGAAACTATTTTAGATCTTTTTTTTTTCAGTTTACATACATTCAGAGAATTGGTGCACAGATTTCCTTCACTCTATGATTTGTCACTGCTATCTAAAAACGATTTTATTGTGTTTCTTTCTTGTGGGTTTTTATGTTATAATTGCACACAGACCACTGAAGTGTTCACTGGTGCAGTTTACAATATACTGCCAACTACTGGCCATCCACTGCAAGTACAAGACATTTTTTGTTAAATCCAACATGGCCGACAGATGAAAAGGCAACACGGGAATATCCAGTCCCTCCTTCTACTCTTGTAGGTTAAAAAATATTGACATAAGTAATCCCGAAAGACACATATTACTGATGTATTTGTCGAATAACTTTGTTTTACAACTGATCACCTACAAAAAAAATTCTGGAAAATAATTTTAACAATTTTTCAACCCCCTGTCCCCCATTTTTATATGCCTTAAGAAAATGGAAATATTTTTTTAAAAATTCTGCCAAAGGATCATATTTCATGCATGGAAGGGTTAATTTTGGGAAATCGGCCAATACTTGCATATAAAACTGACCTTATCCACCAATATTATTAACCTCTGCAAAGGTCTAAAAATCAACGACTCTCCTTTTCTGCCCTGCTGTGAGGTTTCATGTCTGGATGTTTGCAGTTAACAATAGTCACCCCAATGTTACCAACTCAGTGACTTTCTTGCTGTACTTAGTGACATTTCTGACAACAAAATTGGTATTGGCCAAAATCAAAATTGCAGGTCAGGCTTTTTAAAGATTGGCCAGAAAACTGCAATGTGCTGAAGTAAAAGCAACTTTGAAACTTGTTTTCTTTTTACTGCAGGACAGACGAGTAAAATACCAGGAGAATGAATACTGCATGTCCAAAAAGACCTGAATTTGACTGAGCAAATGAGTGCAGATAACCTATTGAATACACTGCAACACACAAACCTTACTAAGCATGTTAGTCCACTTTCTAATGCAAATATCTTAGTTTAGTCTTATTTTAAGTTCAATAACATACATGTAACTTTTCCCCTCACTGTAGGAGTTTGTTTCAAGTTAACAATTCCTTAATATTGATGATGAGTTATTAGTTATAAATGAACATTTTTCCCATATTATATCTTGAAATGTTTCGTCCACTGGCAGATTTGGGAGTTGGTTAGTTACACTTTGATAATGTTTCCACATTTATATGACCAAATGATTACGCATTATTAATTCTTGATTAAAAAACAATATTGTGGATGTAACTAAATTAAATATTGTTTACATGATGTTGGATCTTTATCTTTTTATTAGAAAACTACAGCAGCTCTACCAGCGCTTCTCTAGAAGGTAATGCCTAAATCTTATGTTTAACATTATTTGTGATATATAAGCTGTAAATCTGAATTGTTTTTACATTAATCTGTTAAAATCAGCATTAATGTCCATTTTAAATCCTTGTTCTTTGTTGTTTTTATTGTGTGCTTGATCCAGCTGGTGTTTTTAATCTTTTGTTCCTAGAGTTTTGTTTCTCTTCTCCTTTTTAAATTTTTGTTTTTAATGCACAAGCCTATTTATTGACATATTAGAAGTGAAGTTAATTGTTTGAGGCATGAGTGTGAGCTATACCTGAATAAATAATTTAAATATTTGTAGAATTAACTACATGTGCTCCACTATAGTTCATGTATGCTCACCGACTATATCAAAATAACCATATTTATAAATATTTTGTGCAACATATGGATGAACACTAATTTGAGCTGCCTTTTTTTAAACTTTGGGCTTCATCTAACATCAGAAATGTTTGTCATTTGATCAACTACACCCATAATATCCTCTGATCATTGGGATTTTTTGAATCAATACACCTGGCAGAGGATAACGGCCAACATAAACACAAAGCTAATG